ATTATTGAATAATAAATTGATGGAGAATGTGTGGTTAAAAATGAAGGAAAAGTTATTGATGTGATGGAAAATATTATTTTATTGAAGAATGTGTGGTTGAAAATGAGTAGAAGAATGAGAATAAAAAAAATAATGTGTACCAAACAGGGCCTTAATATGAAAACTTTTATTCATTGGCCTATAAATTGTATGTCAAAAGCAATATATATATTCTGACTCGAGGGTGCTTGGTAGGGATTATAATTAGATTTTTAGTAGATTGTGATAGAAGTTTTTGAAATGTATAGTTGAAAAGTGTGGGACCCATGAAAGATGTAACTAATATTGATTGTTTGATTTTGAATTGGATTAAAACCAGATTTTAATCCAGACCAAACAGGGGCTCATTGTGATAAACCAATTACACTATTTATGTAACGTAATCAAGAAACATAGTGATATCTCGGTTGAGGACACCTTTTAAGTATGTGCATTTTCAAATTATTGGAACCAATTCTACTGAATAAGTGAATAACCAATCTGTCCGATAAATACAGGGACCCAAAAGCAAGAGTAGGTTTTTATCCGACTGAGGATGTGCCAAAGTTGTCACTAGAATGCTCAATTGGATGCGAATGCATTCTCTACTATTCTCTTCGTCCTTAGGTAACCTTTGAATGCTTTTTAACGTTGCAGCTTCGATGTGTCCACCTATAGTAACTCCTACATATACGAGGAAAAAGTAAAATGTAGGTTGATTTATTAAGAGCCTGTTTGGTAGGGATTTTTGGGGGAAAAATTGATTTTGAATAGTGATATGATGGGAAATTTGTGGTTGAAAAAGAAAAAAAAAGTATTGATGTGATGGAAAATATTATTTTATTGAAAAATGTATGGTTGAAAATGAGAATTGATTTACTGTAGAAAATGAAAATCTATACCAAACAAGCTCTAAAATGTATGATTGCACTAAAATGAGAATTGATTTGAGAATTGATTTGAGAATCAGAAACAAACAGATCCTAATTAAGCAAGATCGAACATGAATCGTGTATAATATTTACACTACCATATAAGATTTATGCACGGAGAATGAAACAAAAAGTAGAAAACTATTTGTTTGTGATGTTATGAGTGGAGTTTTCACATTTATTTTTTAGTTTTCGGGTAGCCTTTGACTCGAGCATCAATGTAATGTGACCTTTCAGTCCCATGTTTCGACTTGGCTAACCCCCTCCCACACACAAACACCATGTAGTACTTATTATCTGGAAAGAAGGAGCACAAAAGCATGATGTATTGGTAATCGAGACAAATTCATCAGTTTATCCGTGAGATCTTTGTTCAGAGAAAAATATGAAAGTAATATACGAAGAAGAAGTCCCAAAGATATTACATAAAAACTTCAAAATTAGAGAAAAGCCACGAACTTTCAAAAACATGGGTTTCACTATCTGAAAAAATTGTTTCAATCATTAAAATCTATCGATCACCCAAAGATCTTAAACCTTCAAGTATCGCGGGAAAAATACTAGAAACTTTACCACACCCACAATTTTATACCCTTCGTGCCAACTATAGAGAAAACAATAAAATTCCTTAAAAGTTGGATCGAAATTTTCTTTTGTGATTCATGTCGAAGAGAAAAATTGCGTCAATTCATTATTTAGTTATTTTACTTGATCATTCCAAGCAATTCGGCACAACCATATCCTACCAATTCCCATGCTATTCCAATTGTCACCCAACATGTCCACTTCCAAAGTAAATCAAGGAGAAATTGAATCACCATATACATTATTTATTTTTCAAAATTTGTAATAAAAGATTTTGGCACTTTTTAGTCAATTAAAATTCCAGGATTTTGACCATTGAATATGGTCAACCATGGGCATCTCCAATGATAATCCTAACTAGTATTATCTCAAGTTAAAGAACAATTACAATCATAAATCATAAAAAATTGGATCTTTCACATAATTGGCAAACCGTTCGATCGGGACGCATCGTTGATCCCATCTGCTTTTCTCCCGACAATTTCAAGCATTATAACTCATTTTCAAAGTTCTTTTTATCTTTCCCTTGCAGTACCTGTTCGTTATCGATTTGTCGCCCAAATTTAGTCTTGGACGAAATTAATCACTTGATTGGAGTAGCATGCCCAAACAACTCACAACGCCTCGTGGTATGACATGGTCCGAACACAACAAAACACTATTNAGCATGCCCAAACAACTCACAACGCCTCGTGGTATGACATGGTCCGAACACAACAAAACACTATTGACATGTTACATTATCACTATGCAATACTATAAGAGTATTGAAATAAATAAAAAAATAAATTACGCTCAATCTAAAACGACATCGTGGCTACCGATTAATCAATTATTTGTATGTGTTATAAATGGACTATAATAATTGAGAGTTCTTATTTCTTCTGAGTTGTTTCTTTGGACTAATCGTTCGATTTTGTAATTTTTACTTGTTTTTTTGATCAAATCACCACAATTGCAAAATATTTATTAAAATTGAAAAAAAAAAAAAAAGAGTACAAGCTTAGGTGGAGGAAAAATCAATTTTCTGGAAATTGGGTCCTGGTAACAAATTTTTATCAATTTTTTAACTACCAAACTTCAATTTTAACTATACGTTTCACCCACATTTTTTGTCAACTTTCAATAGCTTATTTCATCAGTTTGTATTAAATACTTTAAATAAAAAAAATTCAAACAACCCCTATTTTTTTTTTTTTTGCTCGTTCCAGAGTCAAATAATGGGAGCCAAAAGTCTGTGAGCCCATCGCTAAGGCCCTTTTCCTCGTACTGGATAAGGAAACTCACTTTCTAGGTGACAGTATAATCGTCACTATTATATTGTTCAATGAATAAAAAATACGTCTCAGTTTCACTGTATAATGTAGGGTGGAGCTAGTCATCGGCGCTAAATATCATTGCTTTAGGCCGTGCAAAATGGGGATAATTTGTCTAATTCAACAGATGGTTCAAAATTTACCTATAGTAAAAAAAGTTCCTTCTCCCTTCTTTGTCTACCTACTTCTATCATTACTTTTAGGGTCCCGTGACCTGACCAACTTGACAAACCGTTCCGATTCGAATCGGTCTTGGTTTGTTCCGATTTGGATCAGTTCCGCAGGAAGTCGTTTGGGTTGGATCCAAGCCAACCTGAAACTCTCGATTTTAGGTTGGTTTACAAAAAAAAAAAAAAAAAATTCAATGGTAAAATACCATGAAATCGTTGATTCGAGCCGAAGCGACTTGCTTTTGGATCGATTTCAGTTCGGAATTTCACGCAATCGTGCCCACCCCTAACACTCAATTTTGCGTCTGAATTATAAAAGATGGGAAACTTTTTACAACCAAATGGACAGTTGATTTGAGACCTTTTACATCCTTTGTTTCTTGTAAAATCAATTACTGCATAAGAATGGGAGAATCATCTTAACTTTAAATACTCGTATACTACTCTTTAACACTTCAAAATGATACGCCAAAGCAACCCAAAAATGTACCTTTCGTTTTACAATGGCCACTCTGAGGCAGAATATAAGAGGATTGCCTCTTTTGTTTTGCAATTTCTCGCAAACTCTTTATTATATGACAATCAATAGGAAGAGTCTTACGAATACAAACATCTCTTATATTATTCTTGTAATAAGCCACTCGAGTTGTTTCGTCCATCTTTTAGAGCTCCAACACCAAATCTACAAGATCAAACCAA